GGTTGTAGTTCTCTGGGGTCTTGTGGAGATCCTTTCTATTACGTCGGAATACTCGTCCGTCCTCCGTCTTGATCTGATACGATCTGATATCCACTTGTTTCTCAACCTTTGCTTTGACAAATTTCTTATCTGACTCTTTGGGTTTTACTCTTACAACATCACCTTCTTTAAGAGGTTTCAGTTCTTTCGCAGTTTTGTCATAGTAGAATGCCTGTTTGGCTTGATTGACTTTCAGTGACTGTTGTACTCCTGTGGGTATCTCTGGTTGCAGCAACTTGTTTGAGATTGGCAACAGTGTTCGTGTTCGTCGGTTTAACATTCTCTGTGCTGGTGAGGTTGAATAACCTTCTGTCGGTGTATTCCTGAAATCTAACAATGCCAAGTATGGATCAGCCTGGGCATCTAGTGCTTTCTGCATGATATTCTTGGCTGTTTTCACACTATTCTCAGCTTTGCCATTGGATTGGGCATATGTTGGTGAGCTTGTGACATGCTCGATGTTGTAGATATCAGTAAATTGTTTGAATTCTCTGCTCGTGAAGTTTGGACCGTTGTCTGTCATGAGCTCGTTGGGAATACCATATCTTGCGATATGTGCTTTCAGTTTGGTTATCACTTCTGTGCTTGTCTTTGAATACAGTCTATCCACTTCAAAGAAGTTGGAATATCTATCAGTTGTTACTAGGTAATCCTTACCATGGAATACAAAGAGGTCGGAAGCAATACTTTCCCATGCTCTAGTGGGTCTGTTGTGGCTTATCATTGGTTCCTTTCTTTGCTGTGTCTTGTAACTGTTACATACATCACATTTGGACATAAACTCAGTGATCTGCTCATTCATATTAGGCCAGTAGAAAGCTTCACGTGCTCTTCTTAGTGATCCTTGAATTCCAAGGTGACTAGCGTGAAGTTTGGAGATCATTSTGTTGCGTAGTGCTGCCGGTATCACRATACGTTCACCTTTGAATACTACGCCATTGTAAAGAGTTTTAAACTCTTCTCTGAAAGAGTAGTAGCATTGTAGTTGTGGCTTTATCATACCTTTAGTCTCAGGCCAGCCATCTTTGATAATTGTTGCTAAGGCTTGTAGGTCTGGGTCTGTTTCTGTATGTCTCTGGATTTCTTGAATCGTGGTATCCCGAAGAGGTAAGAAGCTGATCAGATCTATTTTCTCTGCATCCTCTTCCGTTCTCGATCTATCCACGATCCTGACATCAGCATTATGATCACTTGTTGTCTTAGTTCCTTTCAGGTAGGCTCGGCTTAATGTGTCTGCCATATACATCTCTACACCTCTCTTGTAAACAACTTCTAAGTCGTATCTTTGTAGACGCAGTAACATGCGCTGTAGTCTTTTCGGGGCACTGAGAAGGCTTTTCTTGACAATAGACTCCAGTGGCTTATGATCGGTCTCAATCACAACATGTCGACCGTATACATACTCTGAGAATTTCTCCACTCCAAAGACGACTGATAASAACTCTTTTTCGATTTGTGCATAATTAGTCTCTGTGGGTGTAAGTGCTCTCGATGCGTAAGCAATCGGGTGTACGTCTTGCATGAGACAGGCACCTAGTCCATCTTTAGATGCATCGCATTGTAAAAATGACTTCTTGTCTTGACTGAAATACTTAAGAACTGGAGCGTTTGTCAGAATTGATTTGACATCTTGTAGGGCTTTGTCATGGGCTTGGTCCCATACGAAGGCACTTTCTTTCWTTAACAGGTCTCTAAGTGGTTTAGTAGCATCAGCTAATCCTGGTGCGAAACGCTGGACATAGTTGGTCATCCCAAGCAGTCTCTGCACACCTCCTTTATCTGTAGGTGTAGGCATTTCTGTTATAGCATCAATCTTTGTAGGATCGGCTTGTAGGCCCTCTGATGTAATCACATGACCCATGTATGACACTTGTCGTTGCTTAAATTGCATCTTCTCTCTGTTTAGCTTTTAACACACCTTTAAAACACCTTTCTGGCGACATCTTTCAAGTACAGCTTTAAATCGTTCATCATGACTCTTTTCTGCTGCTTCATCAGTGGAATCAGTGCCAAAGACTAGGATGTCATCTGCTATCGCTTTAGCACCTTCAAGTCCCTCAAGTGCTATGTCCATTTTTCTCTGAAACTCTTCCGGCGCAGATGTRATTCCAAAGGGCATTCTTCGCCAACGGTATCTGCCCCAAGGTRTACTAAAAGTGGTAAGATAACTGCTATGGTCATCTAACTGCACATGCCAGAAACCGTTTTTGGCGTCTAAGACTGTAAATACACGTGCTCCAGATAACAAAGGTAGGACATCCTCAATGGTGGGTAATGGGTAATGATTTCGCTTCAAGGCATTGTTTAGTGGTTTGGGGTCAATACATAATAGGCGAACTTTTCCATTGCGTTTGGTTGTTACGACGAGTGAACTTATCCAGTCTGTAGGTTCTTCTACTTTGGGTATGATTTCGAAGTTAGATAGTCGTTGTAACTCTGCTTGTACCTTTTCTTTCTCTGATAGGGCTACACGTCTAGGTGGYAGTTGTACAGGCTGTACTGATTCATCAAGTTCTAGATGTAACAGGSCTTGRAGTTTTCCTTCACCTTTAAAAACATCTGAGTAGTTGTTGATAACATCTTGTGCTGACAGACCTTGTACGTTTGCATTTTCTGCAGTAACAAGAGATATATTGTGGCGATTCACCGTCAATAATTCTAGCACTTCGCAAGTWTTCAAGCCTAGAATAGATTTGCACCGTCCTTTCACGATCACAAACTCGACTGTATACTTAATGTTGTTCTTCGGATTGAGAACACACAGCTTYTTCTTCCCCAGGGGTTTCACTTCAGACTTGTTGTACATTACAAGGGTTGTATTACAGCTATCCAGTTGAACAGTTTTTCCACATAATCTGTTGAGTGTAGCGTCAGACATGACATTCACGGTTGCTCCACTATCCAGTTGGAAATGTTCTTCAATGCTGTTTACTGTGAGTGTCACAAAGACTTTATTTGCATGAGACTTCTGGGATAACATATCAATTGATGCCTTCTCGTCAAGAGTTGCTATGTAATCATCCTGGGTGATTTGAGAAAATGCGACTAGCCAATCAGCGCAAAGCTGACAAGCTTATGTTGTAAACATAACCCTCCGACGGGAGGAATTTGCACAGCAAAACTCGACCCAGTGGAGTAGGCTGCCTGTCATTTTATTCTATCCGAAAAATCGAAGCTAAAACGCAAAGAGAAATTGAAAATCTTTATAAAATAGCTTTTAAATGTCAATCAAATATTTATCGTTATAGAAAGAGAATTTTATCTTAAAAATGAAAAAACAAATAACTTTTTCTTTAATACCACGAGACTCCCCTCCCTGATAGAAGTAATTGTTCTGTGTTCTACGCGGGTTCTCCATTGCATGCGAAGCAATGACCGACTTCACGAAGACTTCAGAAGGTCGTTGAGGCGACGTTCAACTCCAATGTATCTTAGGAGGAACCATTGCAAATCATTTTTCTTAGCTCTTGTTTCCTTTAAGCTTTGAGGTATCTACAACATCACTGGAAGAGCTAGAGCAGCTTAGGTCCACGTATTCCAATAGAGTTAAAGCGTTTGTTATTTTTGGTACAAACAACTGTCGTAGTTCATTTTTTGTCGCATTTTCGGCAATATGCCGCAAGCGTGCTCGACGATTTGACGTTATGTAACAGGCCAGTTACATTTACTAGCTCTGACCTTACAACTAGAGCTAGAACGGTGACTGGGGTTTTTCGTGTAATGTCTTGATAGCGACTGTTTATGTCGAAACGACTCAAAACAAAATTCCATCGTGAAAAAAGTTCGACTAAATTCCCACGCGTGTGTATTTAAGGTGGTTTCATATGAGCATTCAATTCTTAAAGGTTTAATTCTATAATCATTTTGTTTAGTTATGTAAATAAATTTAACACGACTTGTACTGTTTGTCTGAGTGAAAGGCGAGATGCGGGTTTTCCCTTTCTTTATTTACACTTTCAAATATGACCGCTTAACAAAAATGCACGGGCTCACTGGCTTACAACCTTGGCGAATTCATATACAGGCCTGGTCGCAAATCAATCACCCAGTCCTCATCATCATCACAGCTATCTTGGTCTACCATACTGACTTGTTTTTTGTCAGTCTTGAATTTAGTAGCCGATTTGCAGGCTATTGCAAAGTAATTTGATTTGTGACACGTGGTACACTTTTTTCCCCACGCTGGACATTGCTTTCTATCTTTGATATGCTTCTTCGCACAGAAAATACACTGGATTTCTTTGCATTTATCAACTTGTACAGGTTTCTTTTGTTTAGCAGCATTATGTTGTTTTGTAGGGTTGTGAGATCTAGAAGATACTGCACTCACTTCTTGATGTGTCATCGTTTTAATCTGTTTTGAAGTAGACTCATGTGTGCGACATATATCAATGCATTCCTTCAGCGTAAGCTTAGGCATATTGAGAAGCTTTTTCCTTATATTATTATCTCGGATTCCAATGACAATCCTGTCTCGTAATAAGTCATTCTGCAACTGTCCAAAATTGCAAGTCTTGGCCAGTGTTTTCAATGATGTRACATAAGCATCCACTGTTTCACCGTCTTGTTGAGCTCTCATATTGAAATTATAACGTTCAAATGTCTCATTTCTTTGACCAATACAATATTCTTCGAATTTAGTAATAACCKTGTCAATGTCATCTTTATCACCGTCACTTTCAAACTTAAAACCATCATAGATATCCAATGCGTCTGAGTCTAGACACGTCAAAAATGTGGCAATTCGGAGAAGTTTATTTTCATCAGTCTTTATTGGATCTTTCAATCTAGCCGCAATTTCATAGTTTCGCCAAGCGCGAATAAATATTTTCCAATTTTTTGCTAGATTCCCAGCCACCTCTAGTTTGGACGGCAAAGGAATGTTCGTAGGCATAGACATATTTGTATATGTTTGTTGACTGGTAGAAGGATCGGTATCACTGGTACTCGCTTGACTTTCGTTTTCAGTCATATAAGCAAGTCAGTATAGCTTATATTTACAATTAATGTAGATAAACGCAATCTTACTTGTTTTCGGCCGCTTATTTGTGCCAGTTTCAACGATAGTCCGAGTTTGATGCGAAGGTCTGTGACGACCGGCCACGTGCGATTCGTAGGAAGAACACACTTCGGCTCGTTTAGACTTGAAATTTCGCTTTTACAAACCAGTAAATCTTGGAGGCCACCAGTTAAGAACTTCTGACACCATGTTACGTTAGACTGTCGTTATTAGACACTGTGTTGTTGTGCTAACTTGTCCTTTAATATCACAATCGGACTAACACATACAAACAATGGTGAACTCTCCGACTACACAGGTATCCCGATACTGTAAATACCGTTACAGAGTTAACTATTAACCAAATTTTAAAGATATACTTCATTTAAGGAGCGAGTAAATTTATTTTTTGTTCTCAATGCATTTCTTTATTGTATTTTTCACGCGCTGATGACCCCGGAAATTACAAAGAAATGGAGAACTAAACATGAGTTTACTCTCTCTCTAGATCAAGTACTACGGCCTTCAAATTTGGCCAGTTAACTCCTTTTTGCAGTATATAACGTTCGCAACTGATAACTCTTTCCGAATTTGAATTCAGCGGGAATTATTTGACATCGATTTCTCGCTATAACCTTGTTATTTTGCGACACTTTACCTACTTCTCAGCAGGGGCGCGAATAATGTCACTTCACTACAGTTTCAATTTCAATTTCAATTTCAATTTATTGCTCTAAGTAATATATAAAATATGGGCATTTAAAACTGAGAAGTGCAAGCGAACTATTTAATTACTAATCGATAAAAGGTCACAGATTTGTTGCCCATGGATTAGTCATCGATTTCCAATATTAATCGATTAATTAGCATCAATTAATATCGATTAGCAGAAAAGCAGAAAAAAAAATATTTCCAACGAAAATCAAAAAAAAAGTCTGCCTTGGCATTTTGTCAGGAAAAAAAAATCTTGCCATGGACTGAGGATTGTATATATATCCAATAGTTCTGTTAAAAAAAATTTATTGCCAGCACAGAAGTCACCCAAAAAATTTATTTCTACTTTTCATATTAAAAAAAAATATATGATCCAAAAAAAATCCCCTACCCCCCTCCCCCATCACTTTTCTAAATTGATCAAGTTTATTAAGGTATCCAGTTTATTTAATGCTCAAAACAATGTCTTTAGTTAAATATCTAATAGACATTTACCTAAATCACTCTTCTACTGTATGCTAAATGTATGAATAAGTATAATTTAGCACTCGCATTGTCGATCCATCCACCTCGCAGTTCGGTTAGTACTTCATGTAAGCTGGCTGATTCATTCGATCCGACAGCAGTCCGAATGCACAACCCGAACACCTAGAAACTCATACATTTCTTGTAAAAAAATTCTGGCCGAAATTATCTCGAGCACTTCCGATACACCGAAGATTGAACGAAAAGTAACCGATGGTGTAATCGCTAGAACTACGGTCTTTTCTCGTGCGTTCGACTCCAGTCGTTTTCATTTTCTGTACTTTGGAAAGGCCGTTTGCAATCCCAATAATTCCAGAGCTGTCTTTATTCGTATTTGGAACCATTAGAGCATCTTAACAACCTATTTTACAACGGTCAAGAATCTTCAAAACGCCGTAAATAACAAATGAATTACATACTTTCTCCGTGCTGAAGTCGTAATGTCCATGGCTTATTTTGGAATAGATATGAACTCATAACGATCTGAGCTAATAGCGATATTGAAGCTGGAGAGCAAAACAAATACGATATGCTTGAAGAACGCTTTTGAATATGTCGTCATTATCTTGGATCAACATTCGAATTTCAAACGTCCTTAATTGCAATTCTCCACACTATAAGTACTGTACTTCTCTTGTTGAACTCGTATTTCAAAAAAAGACTTTGAAATTTTACTTATAATATAAAAGTGTTTAAGATTCGAAACATGAATTTTTTTGGCGATCGTACGCCATACATTTTAGTTGCATAAGCTTAACCATAATTTGTTATACCTTGACGATTCCTTTTCCACTTCATTCTTGATTTACCCAGTCGAAGTATCATTCTTCAGACTTTAAGAAGATCCTTCAACGGCCCCAAATTATTTGCAGATATAAATCGAAACTTGCGAAGAGATCTATAAGACGCAAGTCATCAGCTCAGTGGCTCCAGAACTCGCATTATCATGTCATTTGAGCGATTCTGCTCAATAGATCATATTTTACAACTTCAGCATCTATAGATGCAAAAAGTCCTTGTTAAGCTGACTTCAAATAGATTTGTAACGTCATAGAAACTACACTCCCAAACACTTATGTTTGTAGAATGGGCTGTAAATTCATAAACAACTTTGAAGATCGACGAGGGAAAGTCCCTTTTAGCAGCAGGGTGATTTGGGAAAATGCGACTAGCCAATCAGCGCAAAGCTGACAAGCTTATGTTGTAAACATGACCCCCCTACGGGAGGAATTTGCACAGCAAAACTCGACCCAGTGGAGTAGGCTGCCTGTCAATTTATTCTATCCAAAAAATCGAAGCTAAACGCAAAGAGAAATTGAAAATCTTTATAAAATAGCTTTTAAATGTCAATCAAATATTTATCGTTGTAGAAATAGAATTTTATCTTAAAAATCAAATAACAAATAATTTTTTCTATAATATCACGAGACTCCCCTCCCTAATAAAAATAATTGCGAAGCAATGGACGATTTCACGAAGACTTCAGAAGGTAGTTGAAGCGACGTTCGAGTCCAAAGTATCTTAGGAGGAGCCATTGCAAATCCTTTTTTTAGCTCTTGTTTCCTCTATGCTTTGAGGTATCTACAACATCATTGGAAGAGCTAGAGCAGCTTAGCTCCACGTATTCCGGTAGAGTTAAAGCGTTTGTTATTTTTGGTACAAACAACTGTCGAAGTTCATCCTTTGTCGCATTTTCGGCAACAAGCCGCAAGCGTGCTCGACTATTTGACGTTATTTAACAGGTCAGTTACACATTTACTAGCTTTGACCTTACAACGAGAGCTAGAACGGTGACTGGGGGTTTTCTTGTAATGTCTTGATAGCGACTGTTTATGTCAAAATGACTCAAAACAAAATTCCATCGTGAAAAACGTTCGACTAAATTCCCTTCTGAAAAACACGTGTTTATTTAAAAGGTGGAAAATGTTTGATATGAGCATTCAATTCCTGAAGGTTTAATTCTATAATCATTTTGTTTAGTTGCTGCCGTAGTCTCCTTTCGCATCCGTTTTCGCTTCGGGCTTCCTGTGAGGGGAGGGACAGGAAGCCCGAAGCGAAAACGGATGCGAAAGGAGACTATTGCTGCCGCAGCGTAGCGAGCCTGAGCGAGCGAAGCGTACTTTAGGCAGCAACTCTAATCTGGAGAAGGGCAAAATTTCTCGATTTTAACCCAGAATGCAGTACGTTTTCATTAACCGTCTTCCTTTGCGCCACTAAAAAAAGGTGAACAGTCCAGGATGTTCTTTCTCTCTTGTGTTTACATTAGCTTGTGTTCTTGAGGTGAGTCGAGTTTTGTTGTGTTATTTTGATTTTTCTTGCTGTTTCAAACAAGCATTCATATTTTCTGTTTCAGTTTTATCATTATTCCGTTTTCTCGATCGTCTCTTGACAAAGATTGTGGTCAAAGAGTTCTCGACAGTGAGTGCATCAAGGGCGCTAGATCACTGAAATTATGACCTATAAGGTCGAGATGTCGCTTAATTTATCCAACCTATGATAGTCGATAGTAAATAAAGTTTTACTTATTATCTGAAATGCATCCTGAATCTGTCGTCTTAGCCGCTAAAAGGCCTTTGATTTTACGAAACTCATTCAAATGATCGTTACTCAAACGGTAGGGTTGCTGATTTTTGCGGTCTGCCCAGGAATAGCCTGCGTTACATCCGGTTTTATTTGCCACATGTAACCAGATGTAACGATATTCATCATTAAAATCACTTTGCGCTGGCTTTTATTTGAATCAAATGTAGTTCTTGAACCAAATATGATTGCCGTATGTGCCAAGAGTAGTTTTTATTGATTTTTATGGTATAAAAAATTTGAATCTGACACTTAATTTTTTGTAATAATGATTTTGAATTATACTGAAAACGTCTGTTTTTCCCCCTTGTCTATTTTATAAAAGACGTTGCAATAAGGGTTCACAACAGAATAGCATTCGGGACAAGATTTTCCATGTGAGAGTAATACAAATGCAGCAAAACAAAAAGTCATGCAACACATCAAACGCCGATCACACAGTGGCAATTAAGCTACCGGCAGCACTTTCATACCTTTTAGGTAAACTAGTTATGTAAATAAATTTAACTCGAATTGTACTGTTTGTCCGAGTGAAAGGCGAGTTGCGGCTTTTCTTTATTAGTCGGGCTAGCCATAGGCTAGGCCGACTTTAGGTTTACCTTTTTGCCAATCTATCTGTGTGTCATGTCGCGTTTGGTCACCGGACGTCTAAATGTAGAATCCGGAAGTAATCAAAGACCTCTATCCCGGGACTCCTGTGGCATACGTCACGTGACGTATTATATTAGAATGATGTCACTTGTATGTCATATCCGTTCATCATTTGCAAGTACATTTTGCGTGATTGATATACTAAAATTTTTGCTTACTGAGAACCATGTGGGAAGAACTGTTCTTCATGAAACTGATTAAAAATTATGAGCATGCTCAGAGTAATGAAACGTCCATCCAATGACACATTGGAGTTAGTAGGGCACAGGTAGCCCAGAGTTAAATATACGAGAATAATCAGGCAATCACGTGACACCCACGAAG